TTTTTTTTTTTTTTTTTTTGAGCCACTGTCTAATCCTGGTGCCATAGGTAGAGTGAGTACCATGGCATCACAGCTCACAGCAACCTCCAACTCCTGAGGTCAAGGGATCCTCTTGCCTCAGCCTCCCAAGTAGCTGGGACTATAGCTACCTGCCACAATACCTGGCTTTTTTTTTCCCAGTAGAGATGGGGTCTCACTCTTGCTCAGGCTGGTCTCAAACTCCTGAGCTCAGGCAATCCACTTGTCTTGGCCTTCCAGAGTGCTAGGATTACAGGTGTGAGCCACTGCGCCTGGCCCTAGCTAATTTTCTCTACTTTTGGTAGAGATGGGGGTCTCGCTTTGTTCAGGCTAATCTCAAACTCCTGACCTCAATGAATCCTCCTGCCTCACCCTCCTGATGAAGGTACTATGAAAGAATCTGTTTTGTTTTAAAAGATATCAGGAAAAACACACTGAATAATGCCCTAGTAAAAAAAGCCTTTTAACTCAAAATTCTAGGAAATGTAGTAGAGTACTAAGCAAAAATTATAAAAATATCACTCATATATCAAAAATGCCTTGCATTCTAGCATCTAATTCTTTAGCTTTCGAAAAAACTGACCATTGCTCATGCCTGCCTTCTTAAATAACTTCCACACTCAACACCGGTAATAGCAGTACACTAATTCTTCTAAAGTAGAGTGAATCTCTTTACTTTCCTTCTCAAAAACCTTTTATGTTCCCCTGAACTCAACCTGACATTCAAGGCCTTCCAGGTAATGACTCCATTTTAGCACTCTCCCCTTTCCCATGACCCACAGCTTGTACTGATGCTGACTGACGCTATTCAGAGTATTCCATTCCTGCTATCAGACTATTCCATTCCTGTTCTAGTCTTCTGCTCTCCTTGCTTTCTTATCTTTCAGCTATCAAAGCCTTATCTGTAGAGGATGTCAAAAACCTTAAACATCTTAAGAAAGAAAAAACTACTAAAATTGTAATATTCAAGTTAGATTTGACTTCTGCAAGCACAAGAGATATAAGATATAATACATGATAACAAACATTATCAGTATATATTGAGTATTACAATTATATCTGTAATCCAAGCATTCTGGGAAGACGAGGCAGGTGGATTGCTTGAGCTCACAAGTTTGAGACCAGCCTGAGCAAAAAGTGAGAACCTATCTCTACTAAAAATAGAAAAACTGAGGCAAGAGGATCACTTGAGCCTGAGTTGGAGGTTGCTGTGA